AGAGGAATTATCCTCAATACCTGGAGACCAAGAAATAAGGTAATCTCATAAAGACCAATTTATTGGTCACTTCTTCTTCTTGTTGTATTGACTCCGGGGCTTCTACTCATGCATGTAACACATTGCAGGGGTTCAAGACAAGTAGAAGACTAAGTGACAGAGAAGTTACATTCTACTTAGAGATTTCTACAACAATTGCAACTACAACCATAGGAACTGTAGAATAAGTTTCAGAGAAGGAATCATTGTACTTAAAGATTGTCTTTATGTACCTACACTTAGAAGAACTTTGATTTCAGTTTCAAAATTGTGCATGGATGGTTATTCTATTTTGTTCAGTAATGTGATTACTATTAAACGAAATAAAAAATGCCTCGCATATGGAGAACTTGAAAATGGTCTTTATGTTCTCCATCATTCCCTGAAAACAAACTTAACCGAAACTACGTCGGAAATAATCCCCAAGAAGAGAACACGTGAAACAGTTAATTCCACATGCCTGTGGCATTGCCGACTTGTCCACATTAACATAGATCGTATCATAAGGTTGGTAAATGATGGTCCTTTGGATTTTCTAACTGTAGAAGATTTTCTAACTTTTGAACCTTGCCTTCAGGGTAAAATGACAAAACGACAATTTATAGGTAAGCCTGAAAGATCTATAAGCACACTTAACCTAATACATACTAGTATGTGGTCCCCTGAATGTTAGGACACATAACCAGTACGTTTATTTCATAACTTTTACTGGTGATCATTAATGGTATGGTTATGTGCACCTAATGAGACATAAGTTTGAATCCTTTGAAATGTTTAAAGAGTTCAGGCAAGAGGTTGAAAAACAGTTGGGGAGAAAGATCAAAGCCCTTTGATTAGATCAAGGAGGTGAAAATATCTCCGACGAATTCAGGGACTACTTAAGGGACAATGGAATTATTTCACAATTAACTTCTCCAAGCCTCCAGTTTATTTCAACTATGACCAAGAAAGTTACTTGGTGGAAGCCACGACCAGTGAGGAAGATTCCTTGAAGTGGGTAGACGCCATGAAAGCTGAGATGGACTCGATGGAGACCAACAAGGTCTGGACTCTTGTAGACCAACCCCCTAGGGTGAAAGCAATTGGTTGCAAGTGGATTTACAAGAAGAAGAATGATCCAAATGGTAACATTGAGACCTATAAAGCTCGTCTTGTGGCGAAAAGGTACACTCAAAAAGAGGGAACCGACTATGAGGAAACCTTTTCGCCAGTGGCCATGCTTAAGTCTATTAGGATCTTGCTAGCTGTAGCAACATACCATGATTATGAGATTTGGCAAATGGATGTCAAAACCACGTTCTTGAATGAAGATTTTACTAAAGATATTTATATGTAGCGACCGCAAGATTTCATAGCTGCAAGTCAGGAACACATGGTGTGTAAACTCAATCAATCCATATATGGACTTAAGCAAGATTGTAGGAGCTGGAACATCTGGTTTGATTCTACCGTCAAACAATTTGACTTTGAGCAAAATCCGGATGAGCCATCTGTTTAGAAGAAGACAGTGGGTGATAAGGTTACATTATTGGTTTTGTATGTAGATGACATTCTACTCATTGAGAATGATGTAGGAATGTTAACTGCGGTGAAAGTGTGGCTTTCACAGCAATTCTCCATGAAAGATCTTGGAGAAGCCTCCTACATCTTGGGACTTCGACTCTATAGAGATAGATTGAAGAGGACAATAGGATTATCCCAGTCTACTTACATTGACAAGATTGTCAAAAGATATAGTATAGAAAACTCAAAGAAAGGAAATGTTCCTTTTAGGTACGGAGTCACTCTCTCCAACGGTATGTCTCCTAAGACTTCCGAGGAGATTGAGGGCATGAGAGAGGTTTCCTGTGCTTCAGTTGTAGGGTGCATCATGTAGACCATGTTGTGCACTCGGCTAGACATTGCTCAGGCTGTAAGTGTGGTAAGCAGATATCAATCAAAACCCAGGATAGGGGTACTGGATAATTGTGAAAATATACTGAAATGCCTTTGAAGGACAAAAAGAATTTTGTTTGGTATTCGGTGGTAGTTCACTATATATCGTTGGATATGTAAATAAATAAAGTGTATTGATAGTTGATACTTAATTTGAACCACTTAGACAGTTTATGCCCTTAGCTTAAATCAGATTGATGTACTTATTGACATTTATTGTAAATGAATAAAGTGCATAATTGTTTCATGTTATGTTGGTATGTTTTTGTGTAATACCCTTAAACTGGACACTTATGAGACTCGTGTTAGTTTAAAATTTTCACGGCCGTTGGATTGATTTGGGGAGATTTATCCTGCCAAGATTGACATTGATGTGCCACCAAGTGGGTTGGGGTGGCTTGTCTCAACTGCTAGGGTGAGACCTGAGGTACATGCAGTGTGGGTTTTCTTGAAACCTTGAATCGGACCAAATTCTAGTATTTCCTTGGACCTTAGAGACAAATGAGCAAAACTGGAATGTTACACCTGACCCTTAGACTCGATTATGGTACTGCACTAGGTGTGGGATTAGGTTGTCTTTGATATGCCAATCAGTGAGATCATTGACCAGGTCAAAACCTGGGTATGTTGGGGTAGTCCGAGAATTCACCTGAGTGGGTGATCCTTGATAGGATCAACCCCTTTGTCAGACAAAGTGAATGATTGGGGAATGCACTCTCTCTGATGGAAACCTAAAACTACTAGCAATTGATTTCAAAGTGTTGAGATTTGTTTTGTAAAATATATTTATATAGAGATATACATATATATTATGGTTTCACAAAATGTTTGCAAAAGGTTTTAATTCCCGGGATCCATGTGAGTAGAGAGTGCAACGCTGTACCTTGCAGCCGAGGGAGAGGTCCTCTTTTGTCGGATAGTGTTTGATCATTATGGGTTGAGAGGTTAAGTGTAAGACCATTGAGGGTTATACCTGATGGGCTAATCTTGCATCTGCCCATAGTCCTTGAGCCTTCATAAGGTGACTAGACTCAATGATCATTTAGTGTAAATGTTGGGCCCATTAAGAGCCCATATTGCTGGACTCAGGGGTTCACTGTGTTCTATAGTGAATTCGGCCAGGCCTTGTAACAAAGGCTGGACTAAACTCATGTGGTTGATGTGTAGATCAATGCTAAGGTCCTACGCCATACAAAGAGAGACAAGTTAGCTAGCATTTAAAGGGAAAGTGAGCTATGTGACTAAATGGGCCTAAAGCCCATTTCGAATTGGGCTTAAGTGAGTTAATTAAAAGGGGGTGAATTCTAGTTTATAATCTGATTAGGATTAACTAAAGGATAAGATAAGTCTTATCCATTTAAGAGTCTAGATCCAAATATTAGATTATGATCAAGAAACTCTTTCCTAATTGGATTAGGAAGCTAATCCAAAGAAGGTTATAAATAGGGGCGAATTCACTAGTTTATGTACTCAGTAATCTGTAGAATTCTCCTCCAGTTCTTGCCGCCCCTACCCAGTTCGATTTCCACATTTGGATCTGATCAAGAATAATTCTTGATATTGTTTATTACTAGGAGAAATAATCTAAAGTCGTGCTCACCATCCCCTTGCGTGATTCTTGCTGAAGAATTTGGGTTTTTGTTGAACAACTACTTTGCTGATCCTGTCTCACCATAAGCTATGTCATCTTCAATGGAGGCGGGTTTTTGTCACCTCTTTGGGCGTGAACACTTATGTTGGGAGTTATTGTTATTCCGTATCAAGTACATCCTTACTTGTTTCCTTTTGGTTTCAGATCTGGTTCGGTTTGTTTCAAGAACGAACCTTGAAAATGCAATTTTCTAAATTAGGAAATTGTATTCCCAGGAGGGAAAAAGAAATTTTTTGAAATTTCGCCCAACCTTCCTGTAAGGTTTAGCCATCCATATGATGGACCTCCCTTCCCTTCAGAACTTTGCTAGTTGCAATATACAGGGATATATAAGGTGCAACCTAGAAGGGCCTGAGTTGAGCATTTGCTAAATTTGAAGGGGGCTGATGGAGTCAGCCATCAAGTGTATAATTGTATATGCCCCATAACCATTCTAATCTCTCACTTTGTAGGGCATTATTACTATTTAAACTTTAAAGTTTAAACATTGGAAAAGTGCAAATAGGCCTAATGCAGATTTCTGAATTCCAATGTAGACCTATAAACATTCAAAAGGTCAAAAACTTTTATTCTGTACACCAATGCCCACCCGTGAATTGACATCAATTCCGAACTGGCACCTACCCCAACTATACTTTGGGCCTAAAAATTCTGACCCTGGACTGAACCGTAAATCTCCCAATTGAAAAAGTACAGACAAGCCTAATGCAGATTTCTAAATTTCACTACACACCTATAAATATTCAAATTATCAAACCCCCACCAAAGACATCCATCCATCCATCCAATACAACTCATCACTCTTTCAAACCCTACCAATGCCGCAGTAGCAGGTATTGACTTTTATTTCAAGACGAAGATGAAGGAGCACTTCAGCTGCGAAATCCATTTAGGTAACATGTGTGATTTTGTTGTTCCAACAAATTAAACACAACTGCCAAAGTGCCAACGTGTGTGTGTCTGTCTTGAGAAACAAAAACGTACAGACCATATGTAAATGAGTCACAATCACAATTAACAACTTTGTGCTTGGGCATGCAGCTGACTTAGTCCAATTGGTATGACCGGATTCGGATTAATCCAGCTCTTACTCGCGGTCTAATCCAATGTTAGGCTAAAAGAAGGTTGCATTTCAGCATTTTGTGATGAATGTCAAAATCCACAAAGCAAAGCTGTGGCATATTTATTTTGTTAAATTCATGGATGCATGCATGGGACCTCATTTGATTGTGGTTACGTTACTTGACACTGAGAAAGCCTGGTACGTACAATAACAATGTTACGTTTGAAATGTTGGAAATTTGTAGGAGAACGTCCATGTATGATTATGTAACCTAAAAAACAAAGGGATCGAACAATTAAATTAATACCTGAATTATACAAAGATCATTATTGATCAACCATATAATTAATTAACGGATGAAATTTAGGAAATGACAGGTATATATATCTTATTATTCAAGGAGAATAATAGAGTAATCCTAGTATGAGAAATTTCCCTAGAATTTGTGTGCAAATGGGAAGGAATTAAGGGGTAGTAGAAATTAATCTACGTAACCACTACTTCAATTCAGTGTAGAAGCAAGTCTTTGCGGGATGCATCACACCATCGAACATAGCAGGCCTGCAGATTGGGCCAATCTGAGTTGGGGCAAGAGATAAAGTGGTCGAGCCAGAGAGCCAACACTTGTTCCTGCTCTTCCTCCCGGTTCAACATCTCTATTGTCTCTTCCAATACTTTCTGCACTTCTTCTCTTTCTTTGGCACTCAGTATCGGTGCATCAGTTCCATTGCTTGCACGGCACAACAATGGCAACCAGGTCATTAGTATCTTCATCTTCCTTCCCTCCTCTTTCTCTCTCTTGTCTTTATCGTCTTTGACTTCTTCTCCATCTCCCAATTCTTTGACGTGCTTGAACAAAAATGCTTGAAGGGGGGGGGGGGGGATGAGAAAAAAAAAATCTCAGTTTGAGTTGACATCAATTAATGTAAACTAGTTCAAGTTAATTCATCTACTTTGGAAGAATCATATAGAATTGACCAATGGTGAGAAAATCAAACCAATGCAACAGTGAAAAGAATGTGACAAATTCTGGAAACTTGGGCTGAGAACCCTGCCTCTTAGTCTTTACCCTCTTACTTACGCACTAGCTCGTTTTCTAGAAACTTAAGTCCGTTACCCATGAACCTACTAACTTAATTTGTCACCTTTGTGGCACTCCTAGGTTCTTAATTCCGTAGTCTGGGTGTCATCTTTCTTTGAACATCTATGTTTATACCAACGTTTTAAAAAACGGGAACCGTTCTAGTCATCAGTTTCTGCGCCGATGGTCTTATTGTCTGGTTTAAATGGATAGTCTGTTCTGAAAAATAAATTAAGAAAAAAATAAAAACAGTCAAAAACCGTTGAATGAGTCAACAGTTCAACCACTCGGATCAACGTGCTATTGATTTTTTCAACGGTTTTTAGTCAAAACTGGATTTGGGGTAGAATGGAACCAGTTGCTTGAATTGTTCCTGGGCCGAACGGTCCGACCGTCCAAATCAACAGCGGTTCAAAAACCTTAGTTTATATACTATATAATATCATATTTGTCTTGATTTATATGTAAGTCATAAAATTTAAATCATAGTATTTTACTAACATATTTTAAAGACGCGTATTGTAGGGGGAATCTACTCTTACTTATCAAAAGAAAAAGAAAAAAAAAATCTTCTCTTGATATGGGAGGATCAACTTTGTAGAGAGGCAGGTATAGCATATCAAGGATAGGGGTGTTATTATACAGTCTAGACTTAATTACCAAACCCCTCATAGGTTTCTTTCGCACAATTCAGTAACCAAATTAAAATTTAAATGTCTTATCATTTAATATTTTTAATTTTAAACGTGGAAGGCAGCCCTTACACTAATATTAGATAAGCTTTTGGTGTAAAAACAAAGTACAATCTCTGTGCTTTTCTTAATTAAATTAAGAATGTTGCATGGGAATATCACATGACTATAGTCATTAAACAGCAACTAAAAATATATAGTAATTTTCTCTGTAGTAGGGAAAAGTTGTTTAAATTAAAAACCAAGAGAACAAAACCTGAGTTCAAGGGAACATCACAACGAGGAGGAGAAACAGAAGAAAAATGCTTTTGTTTACAGTGTAAGTGCCATCTTTTAATTGTGCTTTATAAAAGATACGAGATTTGCTGCAAATACAAATGTTCTACATACATGGGGCCATTCTAGTCAGGTTTGGGCACTTAGCTTGTGTTTGCATCCGATATGGACTCTTTCTAAAGTTGCAATAGATTCATTAATGGATTTTTCTCCATGTCCAATGCATGCAATTGCGATGAAACACATGGCTTTTGCTTTCTTATGTAAATTTCCAATTCTCCATGGTATAGGAGGGAGGGTTATAGGACGTAAGACCTGGACCTCCCTACGGGTCTTTGCTCCATTCCAAAGAATTTGTGGTAGTATCCCTGGGTTATCTGCTCAAGTAGGTCAATAAATTGCCCTACGTTTCAATAAGATTTTAAAAATCCACTCGAAAATGGAATCACTTTTGACCACTAGTTTTTGGGTCAGTGGTTCAATCATCCTGTCTGAACAGATCGACTCTTGATATTTTGAAAAATAATTAAAATAATGAAACAGTCTGAAAATCGTTTATCAATAAAATAGTTTAGTGGTTCAACCATCCAAGTGAACAGTTTAGTGATCAAATCAATGGTATTTCAAAATTTTCCAAATCAAGCATAAAATGAAACCAAACAACTGATCAATTCCCGGGTCAAACAACGGTCTGATCATCCAATCTAGTTTGGTCTGATTTTCAAAATAGTCTAGGCCAATGACCCAATTGTCGAGATGGTCGCTTGGGCCTCACATGCACTCTGCAATGCCCTAGCCCCGATTCCCCTGCCCTGAATTGTGTAGCAATTAGCATGCATGTAATATCAAGAAAAAAAAACACTAAGCAGTCTCTAATGCATTGTGGTTGGTTAATGAGTCACTATTTTTTAATTGTATTTCTCTATTTATCTCTTTATTATTTTCTATTTGGTGTACAGTTCTGGGATAGTTTGTTTGTTAGTGTTGTTGTCTAATTGTCTTCGAGGCAATGAATGGTTATGTGAACTATTTCTATCATTAATTTCAAATGCCTTTCATCAAATATATAAAGGGATATGGTATCTTACCAAAAAAAGAAAAATCTCAACGGCCGTTTTACGCAAATAAAGTGTTACCACGAGTCGGTATCCCTTTCATGTTGGGATCATGTGGATAGCAGACAATGCATGATAGTTTTTCTCGTATTAATTATGATCTATGAACAAGTGGTGGTAAAGAGGCCACCATACTTTTGTCATGTTGCATGGTTTCATTTTGGGTAAATAACTTTTAATTAACTGTACTTAGGATTATCTAGTCAATTAAGATACAGATTAATTAGAAAAATTTATGGTTTGTTTATCTTTAGAAAATTTTATTATTTTCTTAGGGGAAGTTATTTTTTTGGTTTTTGAGAGGGGGAAGGTTGGTTGATGGGATATTAGTTCTCATTAATCAAGAAATTTATATTCATTTTTTAGATTTATTTTTTCAGGTAAATGATGCTCATCTCCTAGGTGTGTACGTAAATAACTTTTTCACCCACAAAGAAAATTGCTAACACTTTAATGGGATAAAAATGCACCTTTTAATAATGAATTTTTATGACTAAAATGATCATTGCCTTATTTACATGAGAAATAAAATAATATGGGTAAATTCACTTACCCGGATAAGTAACTTATTGAAAAGTGAACGGGACCTAATGCCCTGTTTGCTTTTCGGTAAATTACTTACCCAAGTAAATGTACCTACCCGGGTAAGTGTTTCCTAGGAAAGACTTACCCAGGTAAGTGCATTTACCATATTCTTTTATTTCCCATGTAAATAAGGAAATGATCATTTTAACCATAAAAATCCATTATTAAAATGAACATTTTTGTCTCATTTAAGTGTTGACAATTTTCCTCCCATAGTCAATTAAAACACAGATTAAGCCAATGTTTTTTTAAATTTTACCATAGTCACCGGTTCAAATTTTATAAAGTTTATTTTTAACCTAACTTAGAACAGAGCCTCGAGTAGAGCAACAAATTACGGGATCCGGCTCTAATTTCAGTTAGCTAGGGTGGCGCTTCAGTTGATATGTTAGCTGCATAATCCGAGCAATCTCCCACAATGTCTCACAGTACATTCCAGTCGTGTACTATAAATATCACCCCATAATGATATCATCATTTCTGATATTATTATCGAAGCACGGCGAAGATGTGCGAACGTTGTGGGGATCTCAGTCCGATATTGTCAAATTTGATTCGAATAGTCCAGCGGAAACGCGGATCCGAATCCCGCTATTGTCACCTTCTTTTTAGAGTTAATTAATGTGATATGCTTAAATACTAAAAGGAAAAACTCTAGTTCCAGTTTTATCTTGAATCAAACTAAACTATCAAAGTATGGGAAGATGTTCGGGTCGGCCAATGATACGTTACGTACCAGATACCTTGACCAGAGAGCCCTGAAGTCGCGGCGGCGCCGAAAGAGCGAGGCGAGCCAAGTCTGAAGCTGATCCCCATCGCCATACGGCTTCTTCTGCACTCCTGCAAGCCGCTAATTTTTCTGCCAACCAGAGCAGCTCGGCAGCCAACTTTTCGGCAGAAGCTCCGGGAGGCAACATGTCCTCCCTCGATCCCCCGACCCCGAGGCGGGCTCTGGCCCCGTCGCCCAACGACCGGACTACTCTCAAAACCCGATTCAACGAGTAATCAACCCCATCGAACTGCTCTCGCTCTTGCTCTGACATCGCCCTTTCGAGCAGGCAAAGAGTCCTGGCGAACGCCGTCGATAGAACCGATTGGTTGACTTTTCTCAGCGACTCGCATCCTTCCCGGAGATTTTCGTCGATGAGATTTTCAGCTAAGTTTCGAACCGTTTCATATTTGCGGGAGCTGACTGGGATATCGTTGATGATGGACAGAATCTGAGAGAGTGCTCGAGCGATACCGGAGTCTCCCTGGGTCGGGAATTCCCGCTTAACGTGGTGGGATTTGAGAGGAAAGTCGACCGCTGATTTAGCAATTAAGGAAGGAAAGATAGAAGGTAGGAAACGAAAAAAAAATAAGAGAAGTTGGATAAGAAGGTAGCGAATGAATTGGAGAAGCTTATATCTTTCTGATAAATTGAGAAGGGATTTATCAGCGAAGATGAATATAGAGGTTATCAAATTCCGAAGAAGAAAAGGAGCCATAGCGGTAGTTGAGTTCTCCATCGTCATCCTATCCTATCTACCTGGTTCTGGTCTGAATGTCTGAGTCTTCTCCCTCCGCTGGTGTTGGTTTTAAAGAAGGGAAAGTGCTAAACAGCAAGCAATGAATCTAATGACATGTTGCGGAGGTATTTGGAAGTTGGATGAGAGAGCCACACACAAGCACACGGTCTTCGAATCGCGGTCTAAACAATACGGCACCCCGGAATTTATGATCCATGCTATCTTATGGTGGAAAAGGGAGGCCCGAGTCCTCTCATGTAAGAGTAAATGCTGACGCGGACTTCCTTCCCCTTTCCTTTTTTTACACATGTAATAAGTTTATTCTTAAATGTAAGATATAAAGGGCTAAAGTGGGCCGTGCCAGCGGTCCGTGTAAAGTGCCGTTCGTGCCGTGTTGGCCCGTTGGCTGTTACGGGTCGTGCTGTCTTTCCCGGTGAAAATTTTAGGGGTCAGCTTGGCATGGCCCACGGGCCTGGACCATGCTATGGGTTAGGTTGGTCTGTGGGCCGAGCCTTGGGTTAGGTCGGATTGTATATCGGTTCAAAGCTATTTATTTAAAAAAAATTGACAAAAAACTTAAAATTTTAATTTTATATGAATTTTATGTATATAATTGTTTATATATACAATAATTAAATAAATTAATATAATAAAATTCAGAGTTTCATAACTGCAACCATCATTTTGTACTAACGAACTCTCCATTTTTATTGATACTCAAGGTCTATTAATGGTGCATAAGAATTAAGATACGGACTGCAGAACTAAAAGCTTAGAATCAAGCAAAAAGACTGTATAAAAACTAAAATATTTACTACAAAATTAAAAAAAAAAGAATCAAACATAAACTTTATTAGATGTTGCAACCGTTTTACAATCTATAGGACTCTTCTAAATTTTTTGTATGTTTTCTGTTTAAGTTTTTGAAAGAGAAAGAAAAAAGAAAAAAACATCAAACGCTATTTAAAATTACTCACAACCAATTCATCCCCACCAAGCACCACAAAAGCGTATCTTTCTTTTCATAATTTCAGGAGGAGCTCCACAAGCCTGGGGTAGCTCGGCCCCATATATTGATCACACCAACAAATGAACCCTAAAAACTTAAGAAGAAAAAGGACATTGAGATTTAAAGGAGCTTTGAAGCAAGAGTTTTATGTGCCATCAAATCTGCAACCCGGTTAGCTTTATTGATAGGCATGCCAATACACCACAATCCAACATATTAGACTACTTGAGCCATTCTTTGTTTAAAGATTTTATTCTCCTTGGAGTCTTGATCTTCTTCTTCAGGCACGAGATGGAAATGAGAGAATCCCCCCCTCATGCAAATGGGCTGGCTGGTCACTAAAATTTAAAGCCATATTGTGGGTTTCCCAAGCGGCCCAAGATTCAACAAGATTAATGGTAGCGATGCCAATAGGATAGGCCTTTGCATCCACAACAAATCTAAGATGGCTTCTGGCAATGCAAAAAACTACACAGAACCCATCCACGTGGGAAGTATCAAAATTTATTTTGATCAATTCATCCCTAGGGCATTTTGATCACAAAAGCATATCTATATTACCATTAAAAGTATGAATGAGGGTGTGAAACTTCTCTTCTTGACTAAAACACCCTTGTTTTTTTGAATTCAGTACATCCTATTGTGAGGGATGAAAATGAAATCTGAACTAATTTTCATCTTATTTAATTTCTTAAGGCTGCGTTTGTTTGTGGTGTAAAGCATCACCACCGGTTCGGTTTTGTCAGCGTTTGGATGCAGTGTAAAACGTCATCAGCGGTTCGGTTTCGTAGGCGTTTGGTTTACACCATAAATTGATGTAAAACGTCACTTATAGTGAAGTTTTACACCAATTGTCGATGTAAAAACTACATCGAATAGACACATTTTCCAATGCTCACCTTTTTCAACAGTTTACGTTTTTCAAACGATTTAGTGTGAAACTCCATCAGTGGAGTATAACATTGATGAGATTTACACTCCAAACAAACACAACCTAAAGGTATTAACTCCCATTCTCTCACATAAAATCCTATATTCAAGATATTTTATCTCACTAATAAATTATACTAATTAGATCTATATCTAATACTCTTCACAATATATTACTACTTTTTACCTCATTTAATTCCTTCTCATTAAGTCTTTTTTTTAAGGTAATTTCCATTCTTTCACATGAAATCCTATATTTACGGTGTTTTTTTCTCACTAATAGATTATATTAATTTTGGGTTTAAAAAATAAAAATAAATTATATTACTTAGATCTATATCTAACACTTTTTAACAACATAAAACCCTTTAAAATCAATCCAAAAACAAAACCCTTCTTCCTAGGGGTGCAACTTGGGTGGGCCCTAACCCAAGACTAGACTAACCCAGCCTATAATTTTACACAAGTGGGACTTGGATTTTCGGTCATTGGGTTGGGCTTGGGCCTAAAAGTTCAGGCTCTTTTACTTTTTTTAGTTGGGCTCGAGCCTAACCCTTAGGTATCCCAGACCTGGCCCGACATTATCCCGACTCGAGCTTGGCCCGATTATGTACATACATATATGTGTATACACATATGCATACATGCATACATATACATATATGCATGTTTTTTTATTGGTAAACCATACATATATGCATAACTTGCATAAATATACACATACATTTATATCAAATTCAGTGTGGTCTGATTGACTAACCCAAGTCTAAGCCCAACCCGTGTGCATCAAATTTCAATGTAGGCTAGGCTTGGACTGGACAGTTCGGGCTTTACCTCATGCTTAAGCCTTAGGCCCAAGTTTTAGGATTGGGCCTGGGTTGAGCTTAAACTTGGCCTAGCTTGCTTGACTTGTGCCATAAATTCTTTCGTCTAGGTTGCAAGTAAGCAATTCAACCATCTAAGGCAAATGGGCCATGATGTCATAGTTAATAAAAAGTTTAAAATATAAATAAAGAGAAAAATAAAAAGAAATTGTAAAAATGGGCATGTTTTTGGTATTTTATATTAACCATATTAAAGAAAAATAAGTGTGATAAATAACAATTGTTTTTATTGAAAATGGAATAAAATAAAAATCAACTAAAAAATTGTTTTTGTATTTGGTGATGGGTCAACAGTTCAACTTCTTCTAGGTCAAATTTGCCAACCTTTGATATCATAAAATAAAAATTTTAAAAATATTAACACAAAAGATGAAAAAAAGGTAAATCAATTTTGTAGAAATCATTTGGGCACATCTCTAATATTGTAAATTCATCATATTAAACAAGAATAAGTGTGATAAATAAGAATTGTTTTTATACAGAAATATAAAAAAAAATTGTGAAAAGACTACTATTAAAAGTATGAACGAGCTTGTGAATTTTTTTACTAAAATTGCCTCTATTTTTAAGTTTACTCTCTCTCTCTCTCACTCACTCTCTCTATTTGTGAGATCATAAAATGTAATTTGAACTATTAATTTTAATCTTATTCAATTCCCTCTTACAAAGTCTTATACTTAAGGTATCAATTCATGTTCTTTCTCATTAAATCTTATATTTAAGGTATTTTTCTCAACCAATAAATTCTACTGGTTAGATCATTATCCAATACTTATTAACAATATAAAACCCATTTTTTCTAATTGACAAAAAATGAAGATGGCATGTAAGCAATTCAACCATTCTAATCATCAAATGGGTCAACCCATGATATCATTAATTAAATAATAAAAATTAAAAAGAATAAAATACAAAAATATGAAAATACATAAATTTTGTAAAAGATAATTAAGCACATCTCTAATATAATATATATGTTCATTCTATTAAACAAAAACAAGTGTGGTAAATGAAATTTATTTTTGTACACATGGAAATATAAAAAAATTTAGACACATATTATTAATATCATCATCATGACCCATGCTAGTACACTTAAAAAACCAACTACATCTATCACTATTAACTACATTTGACCCATGACCCATGTTTTCAAGCCAGTCCACTGCTGAATTGGTTGCTCTATAAGAATATGCAAATAGCACACATTCAATCTGAATCTATTCCAAAGGAGATGTCATTTTACACTCTTTTATTAATATCTGGATGCCCCATGGAAGATTTATTACACCTGAAAGACTAGTGATAACAAGTTTCAAACCACCTTCTATCATTATATTATGGCTACTAAAACTCATTGCAAGTAGGGGTGGGTTTGGGGAGGCTTTTGTAAATTCTAGACCTTATCTATCTTCTTTAACCTCCCAACCCATACCCTCCGCAAAATCCATAGTGGGTTGATTTTTAGAATTCAAAACCTCTCCACACATGAAAATACAAAACCCTCATTGATCCTATCTTTCCCTACATTTGAGGGTGGGGTGGGTTGGTGTGTGGAGTCCAAAACCCTTTCTCTTGCAAGAAAGTTAACCTTGGTCAATTTTACCACTTGTATTATGCCTCTTTTATTTTATTATTAGATCTTTTAAAATTCCTTAGTGTGATTGAGGATCTTTATAAGAACTAGAGAAATTTTATTTGGTCTAAATCCAATAATAGAAAACCAATTTACATTATTAATTGGAATCACACTTGTACTCCCAAAAATTGGGGTGGTATTGGGACAAGAAATATTAGATGGATGAATAATGCTTGTCTTGAAAAATTGGGTTGGCATATTTTGACCAATCAAGATAATTTGAAGGTGAGGGTGGTTTCTAATAAATACCTCAAAAGGAATGATTGTTGGGAAGCCAAAACTAAAAGGAGTATCTCTTGGGCTTGGAGGGATATCATCTCTTCGAGAGATGTGATAAGAAGGGGCATTGGTTGGGTTATTAGTGATGGTAAAAAAGCTAAAATTTGGACTGATTTTTGGGCTGGAAACACCCCCTTGCAAATGAGGTGGATCGTGAACAAATTGAGAATATGGATCTTTTTGTTAATGACCTTATTGCTAATGAGAGAAGCATTTGGAATGAGTAGATGATTCGGTCCTTGGTGCCAACAATACCTTGGTGGAGGATTAAACCTATTATTCCCCCATCTATTCTTATGGAAGACAAAATGATACTAATTGACTCACCTTCAGTGGTTGTGAGTATATTGTGAAGTAGCTTACAATAGTGAGTGTTTAACAAATCTAGAAAATTCTATGCCAAATAATTATTTAAAAAAATATTTGGAGAATCCTAAACTTAAAATTTTCATATTCCTACTTCTAA